AAGCATACTCTACTTCTTAGAATTACCCTGCAGGAAATGGCTGAAGCCTACCTCTGCAGGACTTTTGCCTGCAATTACATTCTAGTTTGCTGCTTCTCCCTTCTCTGCCCTGCTTCCCCTACTCTCTTCCCAGTCTTCCCTGCAAACATTTCCTTAATAAATGACTTGTACAATAAATTGATTTGTACTCACTATTCTCAAAGTTAGGTTCTAGGGAATCTGATTAAAGCAGATGCCAAAAATACCTTCAACATTACTTGATTGATTAAAAAAACAGCCAATAAAATCCAACAAAATGTCTCTTATCATTATACCATATAATCATCTTAGTCAAAAGCCAGAATCATATATAATGGGAAATTGAAAAACCACTTCTACTAAAGATAAGAATTACAATATCCATTATAATACTATTTAATATCAGTATTAATGAACATTATAGAAGAACACAATTAGTAATGCACAAATTCGAAAGAAGAAGTTACAATGGCTATGATTTAGTGATAATTTGATTGATCTGGAAAACTCAACAGAACAGAAAACTTACTATAAAAGGAAAGACAGGCCGGGCGTGGTGGCTCACGCCTGTAATCCCAGCACTTTGGGAGGCCTAGGCGGGTGGATCACGAGGTCAAGAGATCGAGACCATGCTGGTCAACATGGTGAAACCCCCGTCTCTACTAAAAAATACAAAAAATCAGCTGGGCATGGTGGCGCGTGCCTGTAATCCCAGCTACTCAGGAGGCTGAAGCAGGAGAATTGTTTGAACCCAGGAGACGGAGGTTGCGGTGAGCCAAGATCGCGCCATTGCACTCCAGCCTGGGTAACAAGAGTGAAACTCCGTCTCAAAAAAAAAAAAAAAGGAAAGACAATTGCTGTGATTCAAAAAAATCATAATACTATACAGAAGCCAACAACGTTCTACTATACAAACAAGTAGTGTGCATATATATATATCTATATATATGCACAGTTTGTATAATGTTATATATTATAAACTACATGTAACTTATAGTTTATAATGTACTCTAGAAATCATACCAAATAAAAGAAAGAACATAAAATATAGTCTAGAAATCATACCAAATAAAAGAGAGAATAATAACAAGAACAAAAACACTCATACAAATAAATCTATAATGAAATAGAGAGAAAAGCACAGCAAACTTGAAATTTCACGCAACGTAGCCCAAAGTTCCTGAGCTTTGTTTTCTGTTCCTATTGTTTGTTTTCTAAAGCATTAATTGATACATTGTTTTTCAAGATATCAATATTTACTTTGGTTGCTCTGTATCTGGTACATATATATATTTACAACATACTGTTTGTATAATATGTTATATTTAAAAACCATATATAACTATATATACACATAAATTAATATACATATATATGTATATATTAATATATTTGTCTAGTAATATATTAACATAGTAATAATTGTAGTTAATATGGTAACAATTATAGTAACATAATAATATAATAATATTTATAGTAATTGTACATAGTAATATAGTAATAAAGTAATAATATTTTAATACATTATTAGGCATGTATGTTATATACATGTACTATATATAATACATGTATATAATATACACATACTATAACATAATATATACATGTATATAATACATATACATATATGTAAAAATATATACATGTATATAATACATATACTATATATATTACATGTCTAGTAATAATATGTATTAATATACACATGTATATATATAGAGAGAGAGAAGCAATGAAAAGTATAAACTAAGAAAAGTTTACAAGAAATGTGTAAAAGCTATGTGAAAAGCTATGAGAAGAAGAAATTCAGACTCTACTGAAGGCTTATAAATTGTTCAGTTAGAATGTTCTCAAATAGAAAGATTTATAGTTACAAATGTAAATGAAAGCACCTTTCCAACTAAAAAGTAAAACATATCCAACCAAAGAAAAAGGTATGATCTTGGCTATGTGTTTTTAGGCAATAACATTAAATTTCAAAATCCAGATTTGTTGAAAGAAAAAAGAAGATATGCCATATAAAGAGGAATAATTGAAAAACTGTGGTGGCTGTATTAGCATCAATTAAAACTGACATTATAGATAAAAGAAGACATGTCAAAATGATAAGATTATTAAATAATCAAGAAGACATAGCAATGCTAACTGTGCAGACTATTCATTTCAAAATACATTAAGAAGGACTTCCACTTCCGGAAAGATGGAATATATGTACTTTTCAATATTTCTTTTGCTAAGTACAACCAAAATATCTGGTAATTATAGATACAACAAATATAAGAAGACACTGCAAGGTGGAGAGAGGACAGCAAAAAGGCCAGAGGCCACAGTATCTGAGGAATAACACGGTGATTTCAATTGAAAATCACTCATCATGCCAAAAGGCAGGATAATCTGAAATTGGATGAGAAAAGATAATGAACAGGTGACAACACCATGATGACACAAATGTTGGAATTAACTGGCAAGGATTTTAAAGCAGCCATCATAAAATTTCTTTAATGAGCAATTATGAACATGCTTGAACAAATAAAAAGAAAGTAGAAATAGCAAAGAAATAGAATGTCTGAAAAAAGAAATAACATATGCTAGGAAGAACCAAATAGAAATCTTAAAACTAAAAAAATTAATAATAACTGAAATAAAACACTTAACAGATTGATGGAACAAAGTAATGGGAGAGGACAGACTCTGAAGCTAAAACGGTAATTACGCAATCTAGACAACAAAAAGATTTAGACTAAAAACATAAAGAAATAAAATAAAATGAACAGAATCCCAGGAACTTGTGCAGCTACAACAAAATATTTAACAATCTTGTCATTGGATTTCCAGAAGAGAAGAATGAGTAGGGCTGCAAAGTATTCAAATAAACAATGCCCAAAACTTTCCCAAAGTTGGTCCCAAAAAAGTATGTAAATCTAAAGATTCAAGAAGCTGAGAAAATCCCTCAAATTGGATAAATACACAGAAATTCAGATCAAGATAGATCACTGTAAAACTTTTGAAAAGAAAGGGAAAAAATCTTGAGGGCAGCCAAAGGAAGAAAAAAAGGAAAAATGGAGGAAGGAGAAGAAGGAAGGGAGGAAAAGAAGAGAAAAGAGGAAGGAAGGGAGTGAGACAAAAAGCAGAGAGGGAGGGAGTGTCAGGAGAAGGAAGACAGCGGAGATGTCATCAGATGCCACACGGGTCAGAAGGAAATGGAACACATTTTTCAAGGGCTTAAAGAAAAGAATTGTCAACCCAAAGTTCTGTGTCAATTAAAAATATTCTTCAGGACCTGGCCCAGTGGCTCATGCCTGTAATCCCAGCACTTTGAGAGGCTGAGGTGGGTGAATCATGAGGTCTGGAGTTTAAGACCAGCCTGGCCAACATGGTGAAACCTGTCTTTACTGAAAATACAAAAATTAGCCAGGCTTGGTGGTGGGCACCTGTAATCCCAACTACTCAGGTGGCTGAGGCAGAGAACTGCTTGAATCCAGGAGGCAGAGGTTGCAGTGAGCCAAGATTGTACCACTGCACTCTAGCCTGAGTGACAGAGCAAGACTCTGTCTCAAAAAAAAGAAAAAAGAATATATATATTCTATATATATATATATATATATATATATATATATTCTTCAGGAACAAAAGAGAAATCAATGCACTCTGTAATAAAATACCCTTTAAAATATGTAAAATAGGTATAATAGTAAATATTTTCACTGAATCCTAAAAGTATATATCATTTTTGCTTTGCTGGTAAAGGCAACATTAAACTGTAAACACTTCATAATTTTTAAAATAACTATTATTGCTTTTTAAATTATTAAAAATATTTCATTAAAGACATATCATGAATGGTCTTACTTTTCCCTGATCATTTAAATTACATAAACTGAAAGCTCTTTTGTGTAATACACCAAAACTTCTCTGTGATAATAAAGATACAAGCATGCTATTTATAAAAGTTAAACTTTTCAGATTTTTTTTTTCAGGAAATTTGGATACTTTGTGAAAAATAAAATTAATAATTGCAATAATAAATCAACATTAAAATAGCCCTTGGAAGATCCTTGGATTCAGAATAGTATAGTAACAGGCAACAGAGCAAGACTGAACAGAATCCTGTGGCATAAATTTGCAGTATTTGTCTTGGATATCATGATAATCCATTGCCAAATGGTATTTTCTATGCACTGCAACATGTATTGATGTATCCCTTTCTCTCTGGTAAAAAATATTGCACTTTCTGTTTGGTTGCTATGTACATAAAACTGGATTCCAAGGTTTCCTGGGCTTGCAACCAGATCCATGTGCAACCATCACCGGGATCATTAGAGGAATTTGCTCCTGCCCTAGTTTTTGGGTTCATCTTTTTCCACATCATTATTCAACCCAACCTTGACCATTCCTAAGACTTAATAATTGTTCCACAATTGTTCTTTAACAAGCTAATGATCTTTAATAAGCCAATTGTACTGTATGACGCAAAATTTCTCAAATTACATGGTAAAAGATTTCAACAGCTTAGCATAGAAAAAGAATTTTTATTCAAATAAATAAGTGACTCTTGGACACTGCTTTCTCCTTATATGGGAATCATAAAGCTTGACAAGAAAGTCCAACTATCCTGTGGTAACCCTGACAGAAGACTGGTAGAGATCGTAGCTGGAGATTACTGAGAAACATATTGTTACTAAACTCTCAAACAGTGTAATGAGTGATTTCCCAACACACTAAAGTGGTTGGAAGAGCTAAAGTTATCATCCAAACAATGAAACCTCTAAAATTTACTTTTGAGGAAAAGATACATTTTAGGATTTTAGCATTCAAATATTTAGTATGCAGTTGTGCAGCTGTCAACACACTGGATCTGCCATCCATCTCTCTTGACCATATTTTAGAGTTAGAGGAGCTTGCTGACCTGGTTTTCTTGAAATTATTAAGATTTCTTGAATTTTAAGTCAAATAAAGATTTTTCTTTTTCTTTTTTTTTTAACTTTTTTCATCTTTTTTTGAATTGTACACAAACATTTCCTACATAATCCAACATACAACAGAGAAATGGTACATCTTTTTCTTTCAATTTGCATACAATGGAAAAACAAGTATATATATATTTTACAAAGTTTAACTAATAAGACACTAGAGCAAGTTGACAGTTTAAGTCTATAGATGAGAAATTATCTAATAAAAATAATCAATTTTTTTCAGCATCAGTCACTTCCATAACCAAGTGTCATTTTGATAATAAAACTTGCTGCCAATCAGAATACTGGTATATACGCATACCATTACTCAACTTGTAGTACTGCTCCCCACCTTAGTTCTTTACAACCACTAACATAGAAAATTGTTGAAAAGTAGGGGCAAGCATTTGCAAAAAAACAAAAAATCCCCAGCTTATTATAAGCATGAATATGATGGAATTTCTTCCCAGCAATAGACTTTCAAACCACCAAGAAATCACTAGAACTAAGTATGCCAAGTTATTTTGCCTATGCCCAAGAAGAGACCCACTTATATATCCAACAGAGGAGCTGAAAATCAAATTTAGTGTTTAGTTTGGGGGTGGGTTGGGAAATTCAGCCACCATTTTAAAATGACTGTCTTAAAAAAAAAATGACCACCAAAAATAGGTTCACTAAATTTATTTTAAAAATCATAAAACGTTTCTTACAAAAGAGTATTACATTCTGCACACTGCTCTGAACAGATGCCAGGGACATGTGGACTATTGTTACTTTTCCTTCCTGTCCCCCCCCCCCAAATGTTACAGTGACCACAAAGCAAGGTGTTCACAATAATTACATGGGGGGAATTTTTTTTAAACCACCAACAATAACAAAAAATAAAATCCACTCACTCTGCTGCTGTTTCAAAATTTAAATGTTAGTTTTTGCACGCCCTCCCGCCCCCCCAACCCTGTTTGTAAGGAACTAAAACATTACATCTGGTGAACAGCAAAGATTTCACTACACCTCAAATGCAGAACACCTATGAAGCAGAGGAATGTTGGCTTTTTAAACAGAAGCAGATAAAAAAAAAAAACATGCAGGACTCCTTCAGTTCTTCACTAGTCTTAGAAAAACTTTCCAGAATACTGCTTCACACTATAAAAAAGAAAAAATATCTTGCATTAGAATCCTTCAACATCTGCATACTGCTTCACACTGTTCTGCAGCAAATACTGTGCATTCTGTATCTGGTCCTGTGTTCCTGTAATGGTAATGATCCGATCTTCGGATCCTTCTAAAGGCCCATCAATTTTGATCGAAGCTCCCGACTCATGACGGATTTGTTTAATCCGCTGACCACCTTTGCCAATAATAGATCCAGCCAAATCTTTGGGAATAGTTACTTGTGTAGTAATAATAGGTCCACCAAGATCACCATATGAGCCACGACCCCCTGCATAGGAATAATCATATCCGGAGCCACCCTGTGGCTCATAAGCCATCTGCCATTCTGTCGGGCTCCATGTGTCTATTGCAGAATCCCAAGTTTCATCAGCACTGAAACCAACCATGCCATCGTAACGGTCTCCAGGTCTTCCTCTTCTGTCATAGGCCATGAGGTCTCCCCCTCTAGGTGGTGGTGGTGGAGGAAGAGGAAGATTCCGAGCTCTGCTACCACCCCGGCCACCCCGTCCGGGAGGAGGGGGAGGTGGTCCTCGACGAGGGCTCATATCATCATAATCTCTTCTAGATGGAGGCATGGGGCGCCCACCCCGACCAGGAGGCATTCTGTCAAAACCACCTCTTCCCCGCATGGGAAATCCCACTGGGCGTCCACGGCGGTCATCAAACATCATTGTAAAACCACCATAATCATAGGTTTCATCGTAAAAATTAGGATCGTAAGGCTGTGCACGTCCTTTGATGGGAGACTCAGATATAAGATCGAGGATGATCTTTATGCACTCTACAACTCTATCGGGTTTTCCTCCAATAAGAACAACTCTGTCAGTGGAATGAGGACAGCATTCCTGGAAAAGCTTGATGGTTGTTTGAGTGTTCTCTCGAAGTTCTTTGATTTTAGCACCTTTGACCCCAATAATTCCTCCTGCTAGACTCTGATGAATCAACAGCCTCAACTCGCAGTCAAAGTCACTTCCTTTATAGTGTTGGTACTCTTCCAAGGTAGGGATGATTTTCTTCAGAATTTCTCCAATTGTTTCAATATCAGCACTGATACTCAATATGCGCTCGGGGCCACTGCTGTCTGGGACTGAAACACTGGCATTGTAGTCTGTACGGAGAGCCTTAATATTCTTGCCTCCTTTTCCAATCACTGCCCCAGCATTCTTGCTCTGAAGCAGAATGCGTAATTCAACCATCTCATCAGTGTTTCTAGATCTTTTAAATGCTTGTTCCTCTTCCATATCTTCTGCAGGGCGTTTACCAAATTCACCATTGGTTTCAGTATTAGGGAAGGTTTCTTCTGGCTGTTCAGTTTCCATATTCTTGTATTAAATGGACACACCAATCAGTTATTATATATCCTCGCAGAGCAGAACTGAAGTGTTCTGGGTTGGACCAACAACTGACACCCCCGTGCTGCAGTAGCCTATAGGCAGCTAACAAGTGAGACACAGGGAAGACGTCGAGGTCGGTGCAGCAGAGAAACAGAGGATAATGGCGTCTCAAGATTTTTCTTTTTAGAAGTTTTCTTCTTCGAGAAACACATTGTTCTTTCTCTTTTTTAAAGCAGATCACCTTCAAAATGAATTTAATGGCCAGAAATTATAAAATTAATTTTTATAAATTAGAAGTCAAAGGTTGAAAATATTTTTTATCCTGTATTTTATAAAATATTTATTTTAATACAGTAGATTTTTCATCCACCTATTTGGCTTCTATGTAAGAAAACAGTCAACCACAAGTGATTACAATGGTTGAATGTTTTCATAAATAGAAGCCAAATCAGTGGATGAAAAATGTACAGTACTGGAAATGAAGTAGGGATTTAAAAATGCAATCATCTTATTAGTTTTTTCTTGAACATTAAACTCACCAAGGAACCACATCAGGGGTTGTGCTTTGTGCCACCACCCCACCATCCCTGGAGAAATTCATAGCACCTCTATATTGTGGCAGCCTAAAGACAAGTAACTAAGGAAAACCCAACTTCAGCCAGAACTGCAGGAGCCATTTCTGAAATTCACATATGCAGTATCTTCAATGAAGGAGAGAAGACACTGCCCTGGGAGGTCTTTGCCTTTGGTCTGGGCACACCACCTTCCTCATGACATATCAGGTGGTAGCATCATAAATGTTCATAATACATTGAAGGAAAAACTATAGCTATAGAATACATTTATTTATTTTGGCAAAGCCTGGAGAAATCAAACATCAATGGCACAGAACAAGTTTTTGAATAGAGCCCAAGAACTCACTGTGATTTGCATTCATGTAAACACCTACATTTTTTCGTTAACTGAACTGATTTAACAGCTAATTAAAACTAGTCAGTAAGCACAATGCAAAATTAATTAAACCATTTAGTGGAGAGATTCAAATTAGTGAGAGCAATGCATTGGACACTATGAAAGCAAGTGCAATTGCTACTTGTCATCAGGCAAAATCGTTCTGAGGGTAAGTGCGTTCCCCAGGGAGAAATATGAAGGAATACAAATCATCTTGTTGATTGTATGATCTTTTATTAAGCAAATGTGCTGAATTTCAGCTTATCTTTTAAATGGAAAAACTAGTCTTATAGTTATTTAATAACCACTAAGAAAATTTGTGAAAAACACTATTTATAGTAAAATTGATCATTTTTCAGATTTTATAAAGGTAAAATTTTTAGCCATGTGGTATAGGAATATTGCTTGTCTCTCCTAAAGAAATAAGTCAAACAACTTCTTTCTATTGTCAATCTGTCAATTCCAGACAGTCTTTTTATTTAACAATAGTCTTCTGCTTGAGAGGTGACCACTTCCCTTGTCAATAAATATATCATTTTGACATGCTGGGCATTCTTTATTTTCTTAATTTTTTTAAATCTGACCTTGGATGATTTTTTTTCTGAGTAACTTCCCACAAAACATGGGATATCAGTTAAGGGGAAATAAAAACTTTGTTCTTAATGCTCAAAAATAAGAAGATAGAAATTTCAGTAACCTTTTTTACCTTCTACGAATGCTGGTGATAGCTACAGACATTTCTTGCATGACAAACTCTGTTACCTTCTGTTACCTCATATGAGGTAATTTTACCTGGGAAGCATCTAATCTGTGTAGACAACAGTTGTGTTCAGAACTGAGATAATCATATAATCTACGTTCTCTAAAGAAGTGTATATACACACATACACAGTGAAGCTTAATGACAGGGATATGTTCTGAGAAATGTGTTGTTAGGCAGTTTCGTCATTGTGTGAAAATCATAGCGTACTCACACAAAACTAAAGGGTACAGCCTACTACACACCTCAGCTATACGATATAGCCTATTGCTCCTAGGCTACAAACCTGCACAGCATGTCACTGTACTGAATACTGCAGTTAGTTGTAACACAACAGTAAATATTTGCGCATCTAAACATTGAAAGAGTACAGTAAAAATACAGTACTTTAATCTTATGGAACCACTATTTGCAGTTCTGACCAAAATGTTATCCTGTGGCTCATGACTGAATGTACATACAAACACATGTTTGTTTTCTGCTTTAAGTACCATTGCTAGCATACCCCATATGATCAAAAATATATTACGACTATTTTTAAAAACAATACTAAATAGGATTTTCCATAACTGAAACAAAATGACCTTTTTAAAGATAAGCAAATCTGGATTTAGATTCAACAGTGTTTGTTCTGTAGACTTCTGATAGTATCTCTGGGATCCAAGACGTTTCTAAGTACACTTCCACAAAAGTGGAGTTAGAGAAAGCAGATCCTAGTGAAACCATGGTAAAAGAACCAGACTCACTGTGAGCAACATAATCAATGCTGAAATAAGGAGTTTTGAATGTATAACTAAAACAAATTTATCAAGAACCAATTCATTTAGTGTAAATGAAGCCTTGTCCTTATAGTTCTCCTAGCCAGGGAAGAAAATACTCTTTGATAAGTTTCAACTTGTTGATTGGTGAATTTCCTCACTATGGAAAATATTGGCCATAGGACCTTTCCAAGTGTCTTTCTCTAGACTATGAGATGGCTTTTGAGCCTTTCAACCATGCAAAATACACCTCGACCATGAAATTTATCCCCCATCTTTTGCAGCACATCTAGTAACCACCTTGTCTTTCCCCCTACTTGATTAATACCACGAAAATAAGCACAGAAATAAGAATCTATGGTCCATGGGAACCGATAGTAACTTGTATTCCACTCATTCAATGCTTGTTAATTCTGGAAATTAGATTGGAGTAGGGTGTGGAGAAGGCAGGGTCAATATACCAGATTGAAATCATTTTGAATCTTATCAACGCAGAAGTGTGTTTCTGTTAGATTCCTCCAATAATATCACCAATGGCATAAGAGCCAAAAGGCTGTAATGTCCTTTTTTTTCTTTTTTAAGTTTTTTTTATTACACTTTAATTTCTGGGGTACATGTGCAGATTGTGCAGGATTGTTACATAGGTATACACATGCCATGGTGGTTTACTGCATTCATCCTTCCATCACCTATATTAGGTATTTCTCCTAATGTTATCCCTCCCCAGTCTCCCCACTCCCTGCTATTCCTCCCCTAGCCCTGCTAACCCTCAACAGATCCCAGTGTGTGATGTTTCCCTCCCTGTGTCCATGTGTTCTCATTTTTCAACACCCACTTATGAGTGAGAACATGCAGTGTTTGGTTTTCTGTCCTTGTGTCAGTTTGCTGAGAATGATGGTTTCCAGATTCATCCATGTCCCTGCAAAGGACATGAATTCATCATTTTTATGGCTGCATAGTATTCCGTGGTGTACATGTGCCACATTTTCTTTATCCAGTCTATCACTAATGGACATCTGGGTTGGTTCCAAGTCTTTGCTATTGTAAACAGTGCCACAGTGAACATATGTGGGCATGTGTCTTTATAAGAGAACAATTTATAATCCTTTGGGTATATACCCAGTAATGGGATTGCTGGGTCAAGTGGTATTTCTATTTCTAGATCCATAAGGAATTGCCACACTGTCTTCCACAATAGTTGAACTAATTTACACTCCCACCAACAGGGTAAAAGTGTTCCTATGTCTCCACATCCTCTTCAGCATCTGTTGTCTCCAGATTTTCTAATGATCGCCATTCTAACTGGCATGAGATGGTATCTCAGTGTGGTTTTTATTTGCATTTCTCTAAATACCAGTGATGATGAGCATTTTTTCATATGTTTGTTGGCCGCATAAATGTCTTCTTTTGAAAAGTGTCTGTTCATATTCTTTGTCCACTTTTTGATGGGGTTGTTTGTTTTTTTCTTGTAAATCTGCTTTAGTTCTTTGTAGATTCTGGATATTAGCCCTTTTTCAAATGGATAGATTGCAAATATTTTTTCCTATTCTATTGGTTGCCAGTTCACTCTAATGACTGTTTCTTTTGCTGTGCAGAAGCTCTTAAGTTTGATTAGATCCCATTTGTCTATTTTGGCTTTTGTTGCCAATGTTTTTGGTGTTTACATGAAGTCCTTGTCTATGCCTATGTCCTGAATGGTTTTGCTGGGTTTACTTCCAAGGTTTTCACGGTGTTATGTTTAAATCTTTAATCCATCTGGAGTTAATTTTTGTATGAGGTGTAAGGAAGGGGTCCAGTTTCAGTTTTCTGCACATGGCAATCCAGTTTTCCCAACGCCATTTATTAAACAGGTAATCCTTTCCCCATCGCTTGTTTTTGTCAGGTTTGTCAAAGATCAGATGATTGTAGATGTGTGACATTACTTCCAAGGCCTCTGCTCCATTCCATTGGTCTATATCTCTGTTTTGGTACCAGTACCATGCTGTTTTGATTACTGTAGCCCTGTAGTATAGTTTGAAGTCAGGTAGCATGATGCCTCCAGCTTTGTTCTTTTTGCTTAGGATTGTCTTGGTTCTGCAGGCTCTTTTTTGGTTCCATATGAAGTTTAAGGTGTTTTTTTCCAGTTCTGTGAAGAAGGTCAATGGTAGCTTGATGGGAATAGCATTGAATCTATAAATTATTTTCCACACCCATAGCATACATATGTGTGTATATATATGGGGAAACCAACTTGAAAGGCTTCAGAGGCCTTATTAAAGTCCTTGTAATTAACAGCATTTTTAAAAAGATGATGTTTGGAGAAGTTCCACATTGTAGCAAGTCAGAAATAACTGTGAAATAGATTAGCAGCACTAAACATGCATATATATACATAGACACAGTTCACTAACTCATTCATGATTCATTCGGGACCAAAAAGAGAGTGCTTATGGAGTTACTTTGAAAGAGTAGATTTCTGAAAGCAATTTTTTTTAAAACTACACAATTATGCTCATATAAGTGCATTTTCATCAAGAAAGTATGAATCTCATATAAAATAAGATATACACTGAGACAATACACTAAAAATGAGCATTAATTATGTAGAGGACTTCTGTGATTTTGAACTGGCATGTAACTGAATTGAAATCCCAGAGGAGATGAAAATAGAGTTTCAAGCTGCTTCTGATTGCAGGATTCTGACATGATCCAATGACAGTTTAAAAATGCAAAT